TCACACCCCCAGCCTCCCTCTTGTCAGGGAGTAGCTACAGACTGGCTCCTAAAAACCAGGCAGGCCCTGGAGATCTCTGTACCAACCCTCTTATCCTGGAAGTGAGGCAGCCAAGGCCAGGGGAGAGAAGTGGTTCCCAGGGTTTGAGCCCCAGCACAGTGCAGGGTCAGAGGGGGCTCACTCCAGTACCCCATGGCCTGGTGCTGGCCATGCTGGGTCACTGCATGCACCCCCTCTCCATTGCCAAGTCCTCTCCTGATTCCCCAGCTTGCCCTTCAGAACCAGAACTAGGCCTCAGAGTGGGGGGCTGAATTCAACCTTGAGACAGCCCTTCAATGACATGGACCACTGATTTAGGTTGGCGGGGATTTAAAAGCATTTTTTGCGGGGTGGGGGGGGCACCTGGGTGGCTCAGTCCGCCAAGCATCCGACTTCGGCTCAGGTCGTGATCTCACAGTGCGTGAGTTCGAGCCCCGCGTCGGGCTCTGGGCTGACAGCTCAGAGCCTGGAGCCTGCTTCGGATTCTGTGTCTCCCTCTCTCTCTGTTCCTCCCCCACTCACACTCTGGCTCTCTCTCTCTCTCTGTCTCAAAAATAAGGATTAAAAAACATTTTTTTAAGAAAATAAAAGCATCTTTCTTTCAATTTCAAAAGTAAAGCACAGTCATGGAAAAAAAATTCGAACTTAAGCGTGCATGGTGGAAGGTCAAAGTATGCTGCTTTCAGTCTCTTCTTCCCCCTGCTAGCCCGAGGGGACCATTTTTAATGGTTTGAGATCTCTGCGTATTCACAGATAAAATACCTTGGTTTGGGTCTTTGGGGGTGCGGGAGTTGTATACAGGATCCTGTTATTACACATGCCACCTTTTCTTCCCCGCGCTGGTGTGCAATTGACAGACGATAATCATTTCTTTCTAATACCCCTATCTCTGGGTTTCTCCTCAGAAATTACACATCCTTCCCACATGCTCCACCCCACACACACCAAAAACCAACCCTCCCCCCCAAAAAAAACCAATATTTAGCCTCCCTGCTTGTACCACTCTCTAGCTCACACAAAATCGTGCCTTGCGGTATGAGTTCTGTGGCATTGAACCGGCAGCCTCTTCCAGCTCCTACTAGACCATCTGTGCATTTCATCCACCCCTTTATCCTGAGTTTCCAGGGGGTAGCCTGGTACATCGTAGACTCCAGTGAACGTTTCTCAGAGCAAACCGAGCTGGCCCACGCGCCGCACACATTCGCCCTCCCCAGGCCCCCCAACCTGCCCTCCTTCTCTCCCAGTTCCGGTTCTTCCGGAAACAGGGCCGGTTGTGACTGGATGGGCCAGAAGGGCGGGCAGCTTTGCTTCTGCCCTGGCAGGTGGCTTATGGATGTGGGGTGCCGGAGTCTGGGAAAATGCGGGTCCATATCACGCTCGCTGGTACCCCGGGCCGGTGGGGAAAGGAGGGGGCGGCACGGCGGAGAAAGCCCCAGAGGCTTTCCGGTCCAAGGCCCACGGGACCATGAATGAGAGAGCCGGGGAAGGTGAAGGCCCTTGGCTTTGGGGGGAAGAAGGTGTGGGATGTGGCTGGTTGTGGCGGGGCCTGGCTTGCGCAGCAGCTCCCGGGCCTGGCTGCGGACACGGTCGCAGAGGCGGCTGCCGGCCGGCAGGGCGCCCACGGCCCCGGGGACCAGGCTTCTGCTCAGGACAGCCGCAGGCCAGGGAGAGCCAGCGGAGCCAAGGGGACAGCAAAGGGCCAAGAAAGCCACCGGGAGAGCGGCAAGCTGGAGAAAAGAGTCCCGGGTCCCCTCTCATGTCTACCTCTGACCAGCCCGGGCCTTTTTT